CTGCTTTCCTTGTTTTGACGTAAAGCTACAGTAAAATAAGGAAAACACAAAGCTTTCTACAAAATAGTGGAACCTTCTTAACTTTGTGGTTCTGGGAAACGAAATCTAAGTATACAAGTTATGAAAAATAAACCTTGTTGTGAGTTCTCACTTTCGCATCCCCCCAACTATATTGAAGATTGGACCAAGTTAGAGTTGGAGGATACGAAGAGGGCAGATTATTGGTCACGTCGAGACACGACGTTTGCATTACAACATTATGGAATCTGCTACTTAAATGATATCAAGTGCAATCGTCGATGATCGTCCTAGTCAGGAGAGAAACTGTGTTTTTGCAGTAAATTTCACTCAATTCATCTCCTAAAGATTTTTGAACAGCAGAACTTAAATGATTTACTCTCAAGTTACTAAGGATAAGCTTGTACTCGAATCTAAGTTGCATCCTTTTAAAATCTACCTAGCACACCTTTCTCCAAAATTTTCGACAAGTCAACTGAATGAATGAAATCAGCGCTTAGTTGGATTCATGCATCTTTTTTATTTTGAAGAAGTTTGGATTTCTAGGTTTAATGATAGCGGGAAAGTAATGAAATGAAAAAGTGAGATTTTTGCGTTAGCTTAATTTTTACTTTTCTTGTAATCATAACTCATGTGTTGACGCAAAAGCTTTTTTGCATCTTTTACAAAATTAATACCACAAAGCGGAAGTAGGTTTATCTCTTAGGAACAAGCGTGCTCATGATATGTATCACGTGTTTTTCAGAAGAAAACATCTATATCATATTATATCTCTATTTTAATCAAAACAAACTGCTCTTTAATATTTTTTTGATTATGACACTTGTGCAAACAAATTTTTGTCTTTAAGCCGCTTGAAGGCATTATTTGCAGTCGGTCGTAAAAACGAACCGGGTGTCTATGTAAGTGAGGTGGTGAAAGGAGGAGCTGCCGAAGCAGACAACCGCTTAATGACGGGAGATCAGGTATGCAAATAAGTTAGCGGTAACCCCTTCACTAAATTCGTGTTCAACAGATTCTTGCGGTTAATGGACAAGATGTGGCAAATTCCATGCAAGAAGACGTAGCGGCAATGTTGAAGACGTGTGTTGGGCGAGTCTGTCTCAAGGTTCGTTTGCTTCTTTAGAAAAGCTAAGTAGTACCGAACATAACGCACACTGTGCCCTAACACATAAGTTTCCTCCTTGAAGATCAAATTATACAGTTGACGCTTTAAGGCATGATAAGGTGCTTCATAGCAAAAAAGGTTTGAATTCTGGCTTGTTTTTCCAACGAGGTCATCCGCGCAATTTTTGGGAACATTGAGACCGATGTAGAAATTTTGCTGACAAACGATTTTCGTGAATCCATTTATGGCACATATTTAAATATCCCCGAAAACGCAAAACAACTTTCTATCTTCAAATTTAACTGAAATGTGATGCTGAGCTTTCATGCGTAATTAAACGGTGCAACTTTTGCAACAACCAGAGCGCTAGCTTAGAAACAAAAGCTAAAGAGGATTATTGGAAATGTGCGTTTGAATTGACCACGCAGAAGTGCCCAACAAGCCTTGCAGTAGGACATAATGGTTCTGTGTTACTTAGTGGAAGTTTAAAAGAGGACGAGAAAAGGCAGTAACTACGAATCCTTCCGATTTCCTCAACTCGCTCTCAGAAAAATTTCTGTATCTAAATTTAATGCTATCGCAGCAGTTTCTTATCGGGTGAAAGGTCTGCTTGTACCAGACTTATTCTTGAAACTTTGTTAGTAATCAAAACATGTGAGTGACGACTCTATTTCCTAGATCTACAATTGGGCTTTAGGAGTATAGTATGCCTACATCATCATCTCCGCGCTTTTTGCGGATGCTTACTTCGCAAAGCAGTCAAAACATATGACTACGCCAGCTCGACCGGAATTGATCCAATACAGATCTTGTATGTACGGATCGATAGAAATCCCTTTTCATATGTTTATAAAGAAATTGTCCATGTCATGTGAGAACCTGGTAGTTCAACAAGATGTAGTGAATTTTGAACGATTTTTTTAGGCTTGCTAAAGAATACTGAGGCACAAAATTCATGACTACATGCTTTTCATTATCTTGAGTGCCATCACAGGCAGAATTTTTGGATCCAGTGTTGCATCAGTAGCTTAAACAACAAAATGAATTCTTTGGTTTCAATTCTAACAGAATCTTTGTCATAATACCTTTTCAAAAGCATCCTCCAATAATTTGAATGATATCGGGATTCATCTACTTCCAAACAAATTTTTGGAGGCTCCCACAATCTTATTTTAGCAGTTTTTTTGTTTTCATCTCGTAGAACAAAGTTAACATTCTGCAAGTTTTTTTAAATCGGCAAATCTTGCTATACAGAAACTTAAAAAATTTGATAAGGAGCTGTGAAATATGCTATTTCAGAAGCAGCCCTTCTGCGTTTTATCTTGAGCTAGATTCCAAAAGCAAAATTACTTTGGCCTGAGATGCTTGAATATTTTCTGACAACTATTATTGTCTTGGCTGAGTAAGACATATTATTCATACTAAGTTCTTTACCCGAAGATATATTAGTTAAGAGAGAAAGCGAATATCGTACATATCGCAGATCTGCGGTAAAGCTCTGTTAGAATTCAACACTCATTGTCAGAATTAAGTGAAGGACAAGGACACCTGAAGGAGTTGGTAAATCAATAAAAATTTCTTTTATCTAGTGATACATTACTGTCATTAATATGCTAAAAGATGCATAAAGCTACTTGATCAAGGATTGAAGCTCGTTAAAGAAAACTTCGAAGAAAACGAATTAGTTTGCATTCGCTGCAAATTCAAAAGTGGTAACCAAAAAAAAAAACTAAATTTTGCTGCTAAATTACTGAGCATACTGCTTCAGTTTTGTTCAAATAATCTCCCTTTCCAGGTTGGACGGTGGAAAATTACAGAGACAGCCAATCGTGTGCACGCGGCAGCAGAAGCTGCCTTGGCTAGATCGCAAACTACACCTAGGGTATGATTCTGAGTTAGAACTTCTCATGTGGTCATCTGATATTAAATATGATAGACAGCAATAGCATGAAAAAGAGCACACAGAATTGCTTTTCCAGCCGGACGACTCACGCGCATCAGCTTCATCTGAACGAAAAGAAGTGCCATCACCAACGCCTCCGATTCGACCGATCATTACTCATACTTCTCCAGAAGGAGAAGCTATAGCTGAAGCAGATGTTCACTTGTCGCCCGTTACTGAAGAGCCGAGTAGTGGTACAGATCAGGTTGGTTTGCCTGGAAGTTATGAATCTAATTTCAAGATTAACGCGCTACACTATAAATCTAGCGAAGTATCCAAGACGAGGATCGACACCCGCAAGGGATGGAATTGTTGAAAGATCTCAAAGAGGAAGGAAGTGACACATTCTTATTAGAGTTAAAGAAGGTGGGGTCAACTTATATTATACCCAATTTTTTTTCTGGAAAAAAGAGTAGTAGAAAAGAATTTAATTTAAGGTATTTAGTAAATGGTCTCTGATTTTTTCAAATGCAATAACAAATATGAATGAGTAAGAGAAGTGATTAATTGCTTAGCTTTATAATTCCATGATTTATGCCTAAAACTTTCAAACTTTCGTAAGCCGTGCCTAATTTCAATAACGATTTTTCGAAATGTCCAGCAGTCGATGAAATACGAAACTGATAGAGCAATCACTAAGAACGCATTTAGATCAATCATAGGTGAATTGAGAATATAAAAGCTTTAGATTTACATTGAAAAATGTGTTTAAATAACATTATGTATTTTTTTATAATAAAGCATTTGTTGTAGACCAACAACAAGAGTTTCGTGAGAACTATGTTTTCAGAGTGTTGAAAAGCTCTTGCTGTAGGATTTCTTTTTCTGTGTATGAAGAATCAGCATTTCACCTTTAAACGTTCATAAGAATTCATTTATTTTCTACTTTCTGAAAGTAAGCTTACTTGTGGAAGTGCTCTATATCAAATTGTCTTTGACTGTGCTACATTATTCCTTCTGACTAAATACTTAAATAATTGAGATTTGCTAACTAGTTTGCTATGCAAATAGTCTAAAACGTGCTAGAGAGATGATTTGAGTTACTAAAAGTCACTTTAGTGAAGGTTCCCGTAAGTGCACAGTGCTCAGTAATTCGTTATCATTGTTCATGGAAAGTATCCTAGTACTTTGGCATTCATGTCTTTCGGAGAATTCAGAACAGATATTGTAACTTTTATGCAGCCGCAGTTAGTCAGCCAAGGAGGCTTTTCGCACGTTTGAAAATTAACTTTTGTTTATCACATATTTGAGCCAGACTTCGGCGGCAGTTCTCCGGAAGGCAAGTGGAATTCGTTTTTGTAAAATAAAAAACAAAAGGGAAATCGTACGATATCCGCGTTAGAGCCTGGAGTTCACTCTCAATCATGACCGAACCTTCAACAGCAAGAATGTCGAAGTTCTCCCTGACCTTCCTGGCGTTGTTTACGCATACAACCTAAGGATTCTTGTCTTAAGTACACCATTACGTAATAAGCGTTCTCAAACCTGTTCCAGTACAGGTTCGATGTTTGTTTCAATGTAAGCGTTTGCACAGAAAATTTAAACGAATTTCAATATATCCATGTAAACCCATTTTCCCAAGCGATTAGGCATTGAACAGCCACTAAAATTGGCGCAAAGACGACAACAGAGAGTATAAGAAAAGTTTGAAAAATCTTTGAAAAATTATGAGAATGAAGAAATCGGTGCACCTTTTTGTGCTTTAGAACTCCGCGGAGATTCGCGGGAGACTTCACATCTTCAATTAGCAAACGCTTTTTTGTTTCTCATAATTTTGTTGACCTTGTGCCGAGGCCTGATCTGAGCCATACGCTTTGCCTATATCTTCGAATTGCAAAAGATTTATAATTCTACATACATGCTCTTGCCGTAACACGTGCAATTTGCATTGCCATAAAACTTAAAAACAATAATTTCTACTAAAGTTGTTAGACTTCTTAGTGAGGGTTCATTATCCAGTTTTCATTTGAACTCTCTTTTCATAGTAACTTTTATCGAATGTTTCCTTTAGATCCCAGATCAACAGCTGGGAATGGGCATTGGTAAGCGCTCTCGAGGGATTTTGGTTACTTCGTTGCAACCGGGTTCAGTTGCTGCCGAAAAATTGAAAGTTGGAGATCGAATACTTGCCGTCAATGCATTGCCTGTCACTGATCAGGTATGTTTGTTCAGAAAGAATCTGCAAAAGCATGTGGTTTACTTTGATACATTGCTGTCAATTTATTTAACAATACAACATTCCAGCTCTCGGCCGTAACATTCGTAAAAGCAAGCGGCCCTCGACTATTTCTACAAATTGCTCGGCCACGAACATCTCCTCAGTAGCCAAGAGGAAAGAGTTACTTTTACGCCAATGCAAAATGCACCGAAATACTTGTAATACGGGACCAAATTATGGCAGTGAACACAGCAGGGTCGCCTATTCAAAACTCAGTTGTCGTATTCACGTTTATTAGAGAACACACTTACCCAGTCATTAGTCGTCTAGATATCTTGTCAGTTCACCGTAGAATATGAGAGCTTTCCAATCATTGTCATTCTACACTTCGATATTAATTAGGTGGTTCTTATCAGCTTAAATAATCTGCCATAATGTCTTTTCATTGTACGAATTTGATTTGAATGAATATCTATGTGCATATACATATTTATATGAATTCGCAAATATATTTATATATCCTGAGACGGTGATTATTATATAAACATTATAGCAAGAAAGAGTTAAGCCTAATAAAACATCTAGGATCAAGAATACCATTACATTTGCAGTAAATCAAGGTGTACATGGTCATATTACTAATACCCCAGATTCTTTCTCTTTGAAAAAAAGTAAAAAATGAGGAATAAATGTGGTCAATATTGCCAGCTCTATTTAAAATCGTGTAATTAAGTTAGTCGCATACCAGTATAATGTTTTTTGTCCTTGTTCTTTCTAGAGGATTTTAGAATGATTGTGTATGTTGCTGATCTGGAGTACCAACTCTCGCGTCCAGTTATGTTAATAATTATAGAGGGCCTTTGTGTACCAAAGACCTACCGTAATTCAAAAATAACAGCTGAAAACAAACTTGTTTGGTCAATAGTCTGTTGAAGTAAGACTTTCTTCATTTCCTTCTAGATAGTGATCTGAAAGCTTTTTCTACTTCAATTGCGCATTTATGAGCTTATTTATTCACGCACATGCTTCAGCTAAAGTCCATTTTTTGAATGCTACTCATTTCATTAGTTCACACCGCTATGCTTTTTTTCTTTATCAAATTGATGCTAGAATTATGATTATTGCGGTTCAAGTAGTGAGACATATTAAATGCACTGCCTTGCCATTAAAGAATGAAGCAATATCGCTCTAAATGTACTGAAATTCTGTTAACTGGACAACTTTTATAGCCTTCAGGGCACCTTGATGATTCGACAGATCGTCTCATCGAAACTTTGTGCCCATCCGAAGAAGAGAACAGGCAACAAATGTTGTGAACAAGTCAGAAAATGTTGACGTCTTGGCTAAATTCTGATGATAAGCACATGGTACCAGCGAAGGCAAAGTTAGCGAAGTAATGAAAATTCGAATATCGGACAAAATGTTAGATGTAATTCAATACGAGTTGAACCAGACGACACTGATTTCTTCTCAGTGAGATGTATTTCATTTTTACCATACCTCACTTCTCCTAGAACATCACCTCACGTCTTGGTGATAAGAAAGATTTTTTGAAAGGTTCATCAGAGGTTAAGTTCATTTTATTTAATTGCTTGCAGGTCATCATAGTCGAGCAACCTAAAGGTTTGTCTCCACATTGTTCCAACACGATTCGCTGAAATAAGTTGAAATTCAGAAGGATCGCCCGCATTACAGACAGCTGCATCAGCTTTGAGCCCATATAGCAGGTATGCTTGGCATTGAATAACTATTCTTGACTCCTGCCCTTGTCTTGATGAATTAGAAGATGGTTGATGCAGCCTAAAAGTCTCATTATCAAGAATTAGCGTCCGAAATTGAAGAACGCGTTATAAAGCGTGATGTAGGGCAAGCGTCTCCGCAGAAAACAACCAAAATGGTCAGAAATGATCTGTTATAAGAAAGATAGCTGCGAAGACAGCACGCTGAAAACAAACTCCCTGAAGGGAGTTGGTCCGTAATCAATCAAGAGAAGATCTCAAGATTGTTATTCTTTCGAGTGTAGAAGTAATATAAAATTAAAATGCTTTTAGAGCATTATAGGGAAATACTGGTTTATGTTGGCCTCACTGGCATACAGAGCTAATTTTGCGTTATTATCACGACTTACAAAACGCATATTCTTCTGTATGAGTGTATATGTGTGTATGTGTGTATGCATGTGCGTTTGTGCTTATGTATTTGTGCAATGTGTATATGTGGCGTGGCGTGTCGCGATGCGGTGTGGTGAGAAACCACTATAACTCGGAATTTGTCACTTTTGAAAATCCTACAGTTACACCATCGTGGCGGTACCACCTGCT